CTTTTTTTATTATTCAGTATGTTTATTTTAAAGACAAAGTATACCATAATATGCAGCTTGAAAAGCTCTACAAGTTACATTAAAAATCTTATTTTATATATGCATTCTTTGTTTATAAAATGGACAAAATTCTGTGCGCCCAATTTTTGACGCTCCAAACAAGATCATTTTTTGTTACACTACGAATTCGTTTTTTCTTAATTCATCTTTTTATCACTTAATAGGCTTCAATAAAAGAAAACAAAATATGCCACAAAATGCAGAGCGAAAAGCTCTACAATTTACTAAGAACAATTTATTTTGTATATGTACACCTTTTGTTTCTAAAATAAGCAAAATATTGTGCGACCAACAAATGATCCTGTTTGCAGCATCGAAAATTGGTCGTACAGAATTTCGTCCATTTTGAAAACAAAGAATACATATATAAAATAAGATTTTAAATGTAACTTGTAGAGCTTTTCAAGCTGCATATTATGGTATACTTTAGTTTTAAAATAGACATGCTAGATGATAAAAAAAGAGACGCAAACGCCAAAATACTGGCCATTCATTATGCAACATCAAATAGTTTGGAAAGTTAGATATTTTTTATGTGTTGAATAATTTTCGCTTAATTTTCTTTCTTCACGTTCTACAAAAATAAGTTTGATTATGATTTTGTAGAGAATTTAACGGCGCATCTTTTGGAAAAACAATCAGCTCTAAAGGACAAAAAGAAAAAATGTTCTAGTTAAAATACTGAGAGGGCCATTTATTCTGCCGCACCCGTTATTATAATAACAATCTATTAATTTCAATTTTCACGTATTTGATTAATATCAATGAAAATATATGTCTTTGATAAGATGATTTTATAGATTTGGAAGTCAATTATCGAAATGTATTTATGACTTTTCTAAATATTTATTTCGATATTTATACTATTATGAGTACATTATTTGATAATGTCATATAATATTTATCTCTTCCTCTTTAGTTTTCAGTATTTCATATATTATTAAGAAAAAAAAAAGTAAATTGACAGTTTTTTTATCACTATGAACATCTTACCATAATTATACTAAAATCATGACTTTCAATGAGTCATTATTTAATGGTTGTTCTACCTTGCATGTGAGTTGAAAAAAATTGTCATGCACAACGAACACACCTTATGAAAATAATGAATAGATTGTGCACAAGATAAGATATTTTGCTAAAAAAAAAATATTATCAGCATCTCAATAAAAGTTTATTTTTTATTTTTTGACTCAAGTTTCTTCATATTGCTTATGAAATGTAATCTTATTATACCCCGAATTGTTTTTGATCCTACGAGAAATATAATCTGGCAACCGTGTACAACAACATAATTCAAATCATATCAAATTTTGAAAAACAGAAGAATGATCTATAGACTTCTTATGTCAAAAATAGAATATAATATCAGTACTCACTTTGTGTTGTTTTTTTTAAAGTACATTTACTTGTCAACAAGCGCATAGTCAGAAAATCAAAAATTGATAGATATGTTTTATTATACTTAAGAAGATTTTTATATTTAATCTAAGATATATTCTTTATTTACTATACATATTAGATGGTAATTTTAATAAACAGAGGAGTTTTCTATCTAATGCATTCTATACTATGATTTCATAGATGAATTCTAATGAAAAAGACTCTAAAAAATCGAATGCGATAGTTTTCAGCTCTCATAAAACTATTTTGTTTAACAATATTATCTTAAAGAAAATAAAATGAAAGATTGCTGTGTTTTCTACGAACATCCTTTAAAAAGTTAAAAGCATTAGAAAAATCGAACAAAAGACGTCGTATGGTTGATTTTTTGGTAATTTTCAGTTTTTTGTGATAGTTTTAACTTTTTAAATGAAGGTCATAGAAAATGCGATATTCTCTCTTTAAAATAGCATTGTTAAAAATAAAAAATAAAAACTTATGGGACCTGCAAACTACTGTGTCTGGTTTTTGAGAAATTGTACCGTCTAGTTCATTAATGAAATCTTGATATAGATTACATTATATAGAAAATTTGTCTTTGAGTTTGAGTTGATTGCTTAACATTATAAAAAAACAATACACGTTGTTACTAAGCTTTTTTTTTCCAGCATTTTATGCTACGAAACGAGATCATACTTTACATCTTAACCTAAATGTTTTTTTTTGACTGTTGTTCAGTACCTTCCGAATATTCTATTTTTTAAGTTCAAAATTTTTTTATACTTAAAATGAAAAGAATATATGGATCATTTCTTCTCTCATTTAATATGAGAATATAACTTATTTAAGTAACACACGAGCAAAGTTTCATGTTCTCATTCTTTCTTGTGAATCAGTTCATATAAATTGGAAATGAATATTGATTATAATGAATGCCTGTTAGAAAATCTTTTCAAGGAACTTTTGAGTTATAAAAAGAAAATAAATTACATCATTATGCTTTTCATTCACTATAGTAACAGCAAAAAAAAAAAAGACATATGAGAAAACTACTTTATTCTTTTGTCATCTTTGTTATTTTATTTGCGTCGTGAGACAACATCAAAGAAGAAAAAAAAAAAAAAGGTAAAGATGATACAACTTCTTTTCTTTTAAACTTTCAGTGTAGGCGATAAATATTGTTGACTTCTGCACTTCTTTTTTTAGCCTGTTTATGATATAGAGAACTAAAGATTTTACTGTGTTAGAGAGTAAAAAGTAAATCACTTGTAAATGCCTGATGTATAAGCTGATCGTGCAAGTAGAGAACGATAATATAAGTGGGTATACTTTCTTTCTCGTCTATTGGCTTTTTTTTCTACAATCGCCTAGACAACGTCACCTTCATCATTCACTCTCGCGAAATGGAAGTAATGTTAAATAATCGACGTTATTTGGAGGTTTTCTTGTCATAGTAGAAATTATATAAACGAGAGAATAGTATAATGTGTCGATAAAGTGCCATTTAATTTTAGTTTTCTTCGTTATTTTAGATAGAATTTATTTCATTAAAATAAAATAAACGACATGGCATCAGGTGGTAGTGGTGGTTTAAAAGAAGCTTTTGATAAATATTCTAAATTTGGTAAAACAGAATCACAACTTAAAGAAAAAGATGTTCGACTTGAATCAAAAAATATTCAAAAAATGATGAAAGATTCTGGTATTGTTGATACAAAATATACAACACAATTACTTGATAATGATATTGCTCGTGTTCTTGGTAAACTTACTAGTTCTGGATCTTATGCAAAGGGCATGTAAGTTTGCTTATCAATCAATTATTTTCTTTTTTTTTTTTTTTTTTTTTTTGATAATCTATCTTGATCTATATATATAATTATATTGTTCTAGTAAAACATTTGAATTTCAAGGTTTTAAACAACTTATTGATCAAATAGCTGAATCAAAAAAGACATCGAGTGATCAAATTGTTTCTCATATTAGTTCAATAAGTGGTCCAAGTTTAGCTAATGTTACGGTAAAATTTTGCATTAATGAAAATATCTATTTAATTTATTACTATTATAATTAATTTTAGAGTACGGCAAATAAGAATATAACTGAACGCATGACGGATACAAGTCATTATACAGGTTCTCATAAAGAACGTTTTGATACTGAAGGTCATGGAAAAGGAAAAGAAGGTCGTGTTGATGAAGCTAAAAATTCAGGTTATGTTGGTAATTATAAAGGCGAAGGAACATATGATAAAAAACATTAAATTTAATAATTAAATCAGAACATTAAGAAAAATAAACTTCTACTAGATTTTTTTTTTCTTTCTTTTTTTTTTTCGATATGTATAAATATGCGTTTTGTGTTTGTTTTTTTTTTTCAATATGACACTTTTTTTTTTCCTTTTCATTTAACGGCTGACTTATGATTTACACTTTAAATATATTAACCTTCAACATTGTGTAGTAAGTCTTATAAGTATATATAAAAAATTTATATTTTCGAACATATACTATTATCATATTTTCCAACTAACAATAAAAACAAAACAAATAGTCTAAGGTAAGACGAAAATAACGTTGGTTTTCTTTGTTGTTGTCCATCAAATAAGAAAAGAGCTTGCCTTCGCGTTCGCTCTTTTTTTTCTACGTTTATTCGCATGTATGAAGAGAAAAAAAGACGGCGAGAAAAAGAACAGATAGAAGAAAAAAAACCCACTACTAATTTACTTGCATTATATTATATATATATATGTATCGTTATATTATTGCTTCACAAAAATTCAAACACAAAACGCAAGCTTTTTTCCTTTTGCTTACACTTATTTTATACAATTATTTGATTTGAAAATAATTTTTTTTACTATCATCTCTTGAAAGCAACATTAAACAAGTATACTTGTTCTGTTCTTTCGTCATTATTATTTGATCGCATCGGGTAAGTTTTTTTTATGATAGAAGCTTTCCTTTATGTATCATAATGACGTCAGAAATATTGTCAAGAAAAAAATAAAAAGGTTTTTTGTTTGTTGTATATATTTATTTTATGTTTACAAAGATCAGATATCATATTTTATAGTTTGACTTTTATGGATATATGCATGTTATGAGGAAATCAGTTTGCAATATTATATAGATTCGTACCCATTAAATACAGTTGACAATTGAGAAAGATTTTTCAGTCGAAAAAAAATCTTAACTAATGAAAATAAATTGAAAAAGAATAATATTGATTTTATAATGTGATACTTTAACGATTTATGAAATCGTTCGAATATTTTACCTGTGATTAATAAAATTTTATCGTTCCACCTCCACATACACTTTTTGTTAGCCTATCAGCATTTTGTATTGGTTGCGTAGGCGGTGTATAAATGAGTTCTTTTCGTTCTGTTATTTATCTGTTGGATATATATTTCTTTTTACTCCATTCAACAAATAATTTATTGTTTCTAAAGCAAACTTTTGTTTTTTGTTGGATGATGTAACTTCGTATTCATATTGCGTTTCTTGTTTTAGTTATTTCAAAAGCTGATGAATTCAAACATTGATTACAATATCATGTCATCAATAAAAACATTTGGTTCTCCATTTGATAGTGTTGATTCTATAGTTAATTATTTACGAGAACCTTCATCATCCGAAGTAGTTTTATCATCAACTACTTCATCAACAATAAATTCTACTAAAATAAATACTCAATTAAAATCAACAAAAGGACGAAAAAAGGAAAAAGGGCAAGCGAATATCATGCATCCTACACAAATAAGTTCAAAAGAACCAATAGAAATTTTGCCTTCGGGTCGTGTCAGGTAGATTATCATTTTTCATACATGAATTATTTAATGTATAAATTTTGTTAGATACGGTCCAATAACTGTTAATCCTCGTAAACAACCATCGAAAACATTATTTACAGGTCGCCGTTCGAAATATGAACCGTTAAATAACGATGAAGAAGAAAAACGTCGTTTAAGACGTGAACGTAATCGTGTTGCAGCAACCAAATGTCGTGAAAAACGTGAAAATATTTTAGCTAATCTTGAAGATGAATATCATAAAGAATTAAATACTCATACAAATTATTTAACAACAATTCAACAATTACAAGCAAAAAAACAACATCTTGAATCTATATTGTCAAATCATATGGTAACTTGTCAGCTACCACGGATCAATTCCATAATGCCACCACCACCACCACCACCACCACCACCACCACAACAACAACAACAATCAATGGTTTTCGGTGATACAACTTTTCTTTCATCAATTGTTGAAAGATCACCACCACCACCACCACCACCAATTCGTTCCAATCAATTACAAAATATTCAAAATGATGAAGAAGATTTTAATAATTTTCTGCAACCTACATCTTTATTAACAAACTCAGCATACAATAATAATGATCAACCAAATTATTTTTTAAATCCCGAACAACAATCTCAACAACAAGTAATATCAATGACTTCAAGTAGTCTCGATCGACTTATAAATGGTCTACATTCTCCATCACCATGTATTGATAATAATAATAATTGTTCAGGTTTATACAATTCAGCTTTTGGATCATCAACTTGTGCTCAACAACATTCAAGTTCAAGTGAAGATGATTCATTACCACCCACTCATAAAAATCCTTTTGTTTATTAAATGTAAAAATATCGGTGATGCATTTAAAAAAGTAATATTTTCTCGCATGGCAGAAATTTTGTAGGAAGAAAAAACGGCGAAAGAAAAAATATCGAAAGTGCTATTAATACAGCTGAAGCATACAACAGCATTAGCAACACTGTATAGACATCTGTAGGCGTATGTGTTTCTTGTAATTTTATATAAATAGTGTATGCTCAAGCTGCTTAGTAACGTTGTCGACATTTTTGTTTTCAATAATTTTTATTTCCGACGTTCGTTTTTTTCTTCTTCGTTCTGCTTAATTTATGTAAACCATCATATTTCTCTCTTTTTTTTTTCTGTGTGTTTCTATCTCTTTGTGTTTCTAGTCTTTTTCTCACTACATTGCAATGATCTATATCTTCTTTCGTTTGTGTTGATTCTGTGTTATTCTTAATATAGCAGCTAGCTGGTGTATGATTTTACTAATGAACAAAATCAATTGAGTAATTTTTTGTTTGTTTTTAGTAAGATTGACACAAAATTTTATTTATCATAGTGTGTTTCCTGGTTGTTTTTTTTTTTTCTTTTGTGCATTTTCTTAATCTATTTGCTAAAAATACGGCATATATATATATATATGTTTATTTTTCAATTAAATATTTTTCTTTTTTCGATATAATTGATATATTTCCATTAAGCATTGATTTAACCATATGTTTACGAAAAAGACGTGGTAAAACTTGACCAAAACATTGTATTAATGTTGGATTTTCTTGACATGTTCGTTTATAATCATCAAAACTAATAACACCATCATGATCTTTATCAAATTTTTTAAATAATAATGTTATAAATTCATGTAAAATCATATCACCATCTTCTTTTTCATTAATTATAAGTAAATCTTTACGTAAAAATGCAAATAATTCTTCACGTTGTAAATTTCCATCAGCACTAACATCATATATACGAAAAATAAATTTAATTTGTTCATCATATGATGCATATAATAATAAATTAATTGAATATAAAAATTGTTTTAATGATAAAGTTTTTTCACCTTGTCCAATTAATATAAATAAACGTTCAATAATTGTTTCATCATTAAGATCAAATAATGTTGAAAGAAAATCACGAAAATATTCACGTGTTAATTGATTATTATTATTAGTAGTAGTAGTACATAATTTATTAAATATGAATGTTAAACGATTTATTTCAAAACCTGTTTCATCAAAATTTAATGATGAAAGAAATGTTTGATCAAATTTTTTTTGTTCAGAATTTAAACGAGGTAAAGGCATATTAGTAGAAATTATGCGCAAAAAAAGATTAAAATAGTATTCGATAGTTTTTTGGAATTCATTTTGTTGATTAAAAATCCTTAAAATTGATATCATACAGATTGAAAATTCTTCTTTGTTTTTTCTCTCGAGACTTTTGAATTAGACTAATGATAATTTTGTCATTGCTTTTTTTTTGCATTTAGTGCTGATATCTTATTCACGTCATTTCATTCAAAAGAGTATAACTTTCTTTTTTTAATGAAAAAAAACAACAACCAACCGTGTCTAAATTTCCCTGATGAATTATTCAGTTGCAGAAATAATATATCAATCAGAAATTACCATTGATACAATCGAAACAAATCATATTATTCTACAAGAAATTTCCCAGTAATCTGAAAAAAATTCCACTTATCGAATAATCTCATGGTAAATTCTCATAAGTTGCTGGTAGTTATTTTTGATGGATTTTACCATTCTAGGATGTGAAATTTCTTTGTTTATAAAAATCTACACATATCTCAAAACCTGTTGATATTAATAACGACAAACAACCTTGAGCAAATATTAGTATTAATGTGTCAATCATATTGTCAATAAAAGAAAAAAACAAACATTGAATACATCAATTTAAATATGTTACAAACATGAAATAGTCACATCATAAACTAACGTAGTTATTTTTGTCAATTCTTTTAATCTAGAACATTCTAGAACAATCTTGAAAAGTTTAATCTTAAACTTTATAGAGGATTGACAATATACAACATTGTTCTATATGGCGATTTTATTTCAAACAGTTCGACAACATAAAGAAAAGAATATTGAAAAAGAAAAAACATTTTAACTATAGTAATAATTATGTTTATAATCTTTTAAAGTAGTCGAGCTCCATAACCGAATGTTGATTTGATACTTTCAAAATAAAAACGTTTCCATCCTTCCTAAAAATATACGAAGAAAAAAATAAAAATAAATAAACAAATTCAAATACAAAAATTCTATTCAACTAACCATTGTATTCTCATAAAATTGTGTTGGTACACCATTCTGTTGTACAATTAATTTTGTTTGATCTGTATGATCTTGAAATTGTAATGAAACATGTGAATAATGTTCTTTAGGCCATGATTTAAAACGCCATAACATTTCAATACGATCATATGGTACTATTTCAAGAAAATTTCCTGTTATATTATCACCAAATAATGAAAATTGTCCATCTTGTTGACAATCATATTTTGTAACACTATTTTGTGTAAATGCTCGTACCATATTAATATCAGTAAATGTTTGAAATAATTCTGATCGAGAACATTTAAATGTATCTTCAATAACTAATTCTTGTGTTTGAAATGATGATTGATTACTTGATGATGATGTATTTGAAAGAGGTTTTGATGTCGTTGATGTATTTGTATTTGTTGTTGTCGATGATGATGTTTTGATATTACTGGTATTTGAAGAATTTTTTGTCGGTAAAATAAGACCTTGAGAAAATTCTTCTTTAAGTGAGCGTATATATTCACCAAGTTTTTCTCGTATTAATGGTTCACCTTTTTGTATCATTAATTCTTTTAATTTTTCACCTTTAGATTTTTCAACTGAAAATGTTATTGTAAGTTCATCAACTTCATTTTCATCAGATAAATTTGGAACTTCAAATCCACCTTCATATTTAGTACGATTTTCACCTGTACGAATTGATCCTTCCCATTTACCTTCAATATGCCATTCATACTAAATATATATATATATATATGTTGTTTGATTGAATTACGTATTTATTTCTTTTTTTATTTTTTATTTGTGTGTATTTAACTTACAAGAAAAACAAGTTTAGCTTTTCGATTATTTGCTGATGCTTCACCGTCACAACGTTTTAATTCTTTTATTTCACAAGTAAATTGTTCATTTTCAATTTTAAGACCTACTAATAATTCATTCAATTTATCTTTTGACCATTGTGTTGCATTCTTTTCTTTCCAATGCCAATTATTTGGATTTGTAGCTATCAAAGAAAAAAAACAATAAAACAAAGAATTATTTTTCGAGATTACAACAATTTTATTTTTATTTTGGTTTTTACCATCTGGACGTTCTTCTACAATCCAACGTGGATCACCTTTTCCCCATTCAGCCATTTTACGTTAAATCTAATCGTCGTTAAAAATAAACAATATATATGTAGAAGTGTAAAAATAGATTTATTTGAATAATTCTACAATCTGCCGACTAGATCGTAATAGAAATGATCTCATTTTCTTTTAAACGATTCGTTTCTACAAACCAATAAATGAAAAACACGATTGGTTTTTTTGTACGACAAATAATACTACCTTATACAATTATATTTGTATATGTTTAGAAAAAAAGAGGACGCTATTTTCTAATAGATTGAAGTATTCATTTTCTTGTGATAAATATTATCAGGGAAAGAAAAAAAAACAATATTACAAACAATTTGATGAAAGTATAGGATAGTTGTTTAATAAAATAACTTTTGAATGAATGTATGAATTTTTATGATGTAAAACAACTGTTTTAAATTTCACATTTTGACTTACCATAGAATTTTCTCTCTATGGATTTTAATCTTTATAAAGTCAAATAAACACAAGTGAGCCATTTCAGGCAAAATAGCACGAACCGTGTCTATGATGAAATTTTCATCAAGATTGAACTCTAAAAAACTGTCTATTAAAAATCGATATTATAGAAACTCTTAGGAAGTGATTTCGAACTTTTTATTCAATTACAAGGGCATTTTTTTTTCGTTTGTAGATCCGCACTTCATCACAACGGTAACGAAAAGTAAATCGGATTTTTTGTTTTTGAAAAATCTAGGCATGATCAGTACAAAAAAAAGTATTATGTCAATTATATTTAATACAAGTTATGATTCGAGAATAAATAACATACTTCATTTGAAATCCCATTTCGATTTTACAGAAAATGTGATGAATATTAATTAATGTATGAATTCAGAAACTAATTGTTTTACTTACGAAGGAATCGCTTGAAGGGATACGTAGGTCTTTTTTTTGTTTACAGAGAGTTACGACAAAATTGTTCGATTTTCAGTATGACATAGAGATTTGATAGGAATATTGAAGAAAGGACTTTTGGCTTGGAATTTTGTCTCTAACGAGGGAAGGTCCCCAAGTGATTAAAAGCTTTAGAGCCCATATTGTGCCCAGTGGTAAGGGTGTGGGTGTGGATGCAGAGAACACCTATAATGACACCCACACCCACACTCCATACCCTTCTCTTTCTAGATTATTGTCATATAAATTAAAAATTGCCTTCTCTCTAGACTGTTGCCATATATTCGAATATTGCTTTTCCTCAGCGTTATTCATATTATTTTCTTGTTATTATTTCTCTTCTTTCTCTTTCTTTTTTTCCTCTTATTACTCCTCTATTCTATTACAATTAATAAAAATATTTAAAAAAACAAAAAGAAGAAAACTATTATATTATCTTGTTCATCATTATTCTCTCTATTATTATACCTTGAAATTACGAACTCGTGTTGACTTGTCAAATTAAAAATAATCACCTTATCATATTTATTGTAAAATATTTCCTAGATATCTCTATCTTCCTAAAATTATTGTAGAAAGATCTTCTTGTTTTACCTTACTTTACTGTATTAAAACCATGGTGTTACATGCCAATGTTGTTTTCTTATGTTGTTTTTTTATTTTTTGGTTTTTATTTTTGTCTTCTTATGTTTGTTGCCTCCTG